AGATTTGAATTTGACTCTTGACTGTTTACCATATATGACCTTATGCAGATCATTTCTTGAGAGCATGTTTGGAGGGTCTAGCAGGGGAGCACAGCTACTCTTATACCCTTGACTGAGGAAATGATCCTCCTCTATGGGTGTGGGGATCATCTCTTAGACCAAGTGTGCACCTTCAGGAGGGATGCACGTGGAGCTGGAGTGGTGAGGGAGGAAGGGGACACCTGCCTAGCCAGCCAGATCAGCCAAATCAACCCTGGTGATCAATGAGGTGACAGATGTTGCACCCCGATCGACCTCACATCCTGCAGATCACTTCTTTAAACATTTTTGTCTATAAAATAAGAATGGTCTTACCTTTACTCCTAAGATTAAAGAGACACCATGTATGATAACTTCACTGAACAAAGCTTAAGGAGTACTTAGTATATCGCCCATGTACAGAGCATTTTGAAAGTATTTCTTATGCATCACTGCTAACAGGCCCTCTTGTTGACAATATGAATTTTAAACTGCTTTGTCTACTTAGGCACAGGCGTCTTGCTCTGTTGAAGCAAGTCAGTATCCGAGAAAACTGCTGCTCCCTTTGTTGCGATGAGGTAGCAGACACACAATTGAAGCCATGTGGACACAGGTAAGATCTGTTTGACTGTTTCATCACTGTACATTAGGCAACATTTCATCCTGTTCTTGAGTTGCTTTTAGAGTGTTATCAGTTCCATACTGTTAATCAAGGTTTGTTGCAGCTAAAGTGAGCTAAATGAGAAATTGGTTTGTCAAGTAGTTCCTTCTAGAAATGTCTTCTAGAAAGTACCTCAAATAGCAGAAGCTGCCTGATAAAGAAGGCCTGTGTTTTTGCTTTATTCTATTTACTCAGTATTATATTTTTTATATAATCTTGGCTTTATAAAATGTTAAAAAAAGGTTTAATGCTACTTGTGAACTTTTGGACAAATCACTTTTAGAGCTTCCTTCCTCATTAGCAACTTCTTTACACTCTTAACATTTTACATTTAGTTGGCAGGTAGAGTTTGACCTTTGAAGGCATTAACTTGACTGGCATTTATGTCTTTCTCCTCAGCGACCTGTGCATGGATTGTGCCTTGCAACTGGAGACCTGCCCATTGTGTCGAAAAGAAATAGTATCTAGAGTCAGACAAATTTCTCATATTTCATGACACCTGTGAAGATGCATGACAGACTTATTTCTACTCAATTCCAGCCAATGTCAAAAAAAAAAACAAAGAAAAAAGTCTAATCAGTTGTACACACATTGAAACTTACAGTCATGGGCAGATTTTATGCTAAAAATATGGTAGTTTGGCAAAGACAAAATTCTTTTAGAATGTAATCCAACTTGCCAGCCCTGAGAAATTCCTTTAAGGCCTAGGAAAGCTGAATGCTAGCAGCCAGGCCTGTGATTTCCATGAAAAACAGTAGGAGACAATGCCCTCCTGAGTGCCGAAACCACACTGGAATTCTCTATGCTGGGTTCATCATTTGATTGTTTTAACAGAGGATGTTTTGTCATAGTCTAAAGTTTTTATTTGGGGGAGAAGTCATTATGGAGAAGTATATGACAGCGTCTCTGGGTTAAGCATACTTCTCACTGGTCAGAGACACGTTAGTGTGTTAAGCATGGATGTTGCACTGCAAGACTTGAATCTATAAAATTAGATTCACACAGGTCAATCCTACAAGCAATGTGGAGAATCTGAAAGAAGTTGCATAGACTGTGGAAAAAACCCAAATTTTTTTATATTTCAGTGATTCCAAAGAACATTCTAGTTTTTTTTAACTGCAGAAAATTGGTGGTATTTTCACATTCATGGTGTTTCTATCCAATTTCAGTACCCACATTTTGTGAGGAAAAAATGTTTTACCAATGCAGGAGGAATTCTTAAATTAATTGCAATGTTAGACTGGTATTTAGGATATTTTTAAGGTACCATCAAATCAGGTTTTTTGGTTTTTGTTTAAAATTTTTTTTAATCAGTATTGTTTTTGGAAGTAATATACTTTGAAACTCTTGAACTAATAGTCTCAAAAACTCTAGAGGACAGTCTGAGAATACGTATTCCTATTGTTTTAAATAAATACATGTTTTTTAATATTAAATTCAATAATGGATTGTTAACTATGTCTTCATCAAAAGTGTTTATCCCTCTCCAGGGTCTCTGGTGAAGACCTTCAAGAGTTCAGTTTTTTCTCCCAGAAAATTGGAAGGTAGAATTGTAAATTCATAGACTTATTTTATAATGGTGTACCTCAGCAGCTGCCTTTCAATTTATGCCAAGTCCTTACTGAGTTTATACTTGAATAGTAAATATGTCTTCTGAGTTTTACAGTGTCTTAAACTCAATGCACATTTTTTTTCTTCCTTTTCCACTCTTTCTTGTTTGTAGTTCATTAAACTTGTCCTATTGCAGAGCTGATTTCCTTCCTGGCTGTACTTGTTAGGTGCTGGATTTTTTCCATGTCTCTAGTCTTCCATAAATCCAAATATATACATACACACACACACACACACACACACACACACACACAGATATATGTTCTCTTTAGCTTGTGGTGAATACAGTAATTTTCATTGAAGAATAAAACATCTGTTGCCTTTTTTGACTAAGATTTCACAACTTTCATTGGTGCCTACTGCTATGGTTCTAAGATATACTTTCAGTGGTTTGGTTTGGTTTCAGTTTTAAGGACTACTTTCAGGATAGGAGAGAAGTACAAGAATTAAGAAGTAGCTGGGTGTGGTGGTGCATCCCTGTAATCCCAGCACTCAGGAGGCTGAGGCAGGAGAATTGCCACTAGTTCGAGGCCAACCTTGGCTACATAGTTTTTTGTGGGGGAGGAGGGTGGAGGGGTGGGTACCAGGGATCAAACTCAGGACCTTGCCCTTACGAGGCAGGCACAGCGCCACTGAGCTAAATCCCTGGCCCTCTGCTACATAGTGATTTTAAGGCCAGCCGAGACTACATAGCAAGAACCAGTCTCAGAAAAGAAAAGAAGTAAGCTAAGTATGGTGATGCATAGCTGTAATCCCAACACTTGTGAGGATAAGGCAAGAGTATCGAAATAGTTTGAGGCTAGCCTGGGCTACATAGTGAGTTCAAGGCCAGCCTGAAGTTAGACCCTATCTCAAAAAAAAAAAAAAAATTGAGAAGTAAGTTTAATCACTTATTCTCTATTCATCCAGTAGATCTTCATTGAGCACCTGATGTGTGCTGGGCACTGTGTATACCACTATGTGGTATACAAAAATCTGTTTGCAGAGTGGTGGCAGTGAGAAAACAATATATGTGTGTTTATTGTAATAAATTGTTAGTGCCCTGAAGGAATAGGAAGAGAATAAGGGGAGACGTAATTTCTGTGTTTAGCTGGGATAAGAGTAGGGGGCTGTCAAAAGAAGCCTGAGGAAATAACACCAGTAAAACTTAAAAGAAAGTAGAACATAGCCAAGCAGACGGATGAGATAGCTAAGTGAACATAGCATTCATAGCAAAAGACCCTAACGAGAGCACAGAGCTGAGGAGGCTTTGGGATCTGATGATAGGCCCTGCTGCTTGGAAGACAGGACACAAGTGCAGAGAATCGTGTGCTCAAATGTGGAGAAGTTCGGGGCTGCTTGTGAAGGCCACATTAAGGATTTTGTGTTTTCTCCTAAGCATAGTATAAAGCAAAATTTAAGCTTGGAAGTACCTTGATAAATGCTTTTAAAAGATGGCTCTGTCCAGGCATCATGGCGCACACCAGCACTCAGGAAACTTGAAGCAGGAAAATGTTGAGTTTAAGGTCTGGGCTACATAGTGAATTTGAGACCAAGACCAGCCTGACCAATTAAAAAGACCCTGTCTCAGAAAAAAAATTTTAAATGACAGCTCTGATATCTGGAGAATAATGAAATGGAAGGATTGAGTAAAGATAGAGAAGAAACAAAAAGTGGAAATCATAGGACCAGTAGGGAAACTTTGAAGTAGTCCAGCTGAGAGGTAAACGTGATCTGTAAACTCAGTAGAAATAGAGAAAAATCGATGGAATTAATGATCCGCCAGTAATCACAGGAATGCAGGAGCCTGTCAGCTTTCTAGAAATGTACCCTTGAACTTTGTTCCTAAGTTGGTCTACTTTTTCAGCTCTTAACTTCTAGACTATAAAACAAAAAGACTTTAATATTAAACCATCCAGGATGGAAGCAAAGTTGTAATCGTGTAACTACTTCAAAGGAAAGATATTTACTCCACATAGAAGAGAAAAAATTAGGGATTGGCAAGCACTTGTGGAAGAGAGTAAACAGATTTATATCCTGCACTGAATGTAAGCATTTTAACAGATTAAACACTAGACTTTTACTGCTGATACAGCATTAGCAGCAGGAAAAACAAAAAATTAAATTACGGCATTTCTCCACTGATTCATTTGGGAAATTCAGGGCTCCAGCCAAAAAAATTTAGCGAATTGCCACCTTTTGTGAATGATGTAAAGCAGGAGAAAAATCATGGTGCCAGTGCAGAGTGCCAAGAAACAGTGATTCGATCACAGAAACTAGAACAATTTTTGCAGCAGGAAATGACTTATGAATTAATTTCAACTGTCTTGAATGTGTATCCATGAAAACAGACTGCCCAACTAAGATCAGCTCTTTCCAAGATTAGCCACTGTTGTTCGTTTGCTATTTATTCACTTAGAAAAATTCTTAATGCTAATCCACAGAGAATTTTTAAAATCATTATTAATGGGAAAGCATGATTTAATGTATTTGTCAATTTTTAATTTAAAAGACCACTATTCTGTTTTCAACAGAAAAGTATGTTCTGATTTCCACAAGTATGTTTAATGACCCAGGGATTAGGTGCTATATATAGCATGATGGTTGATTGGGTCCTTCAAAGTGAGAATCAACCTATAGTCTCACTAAACCTTCATTTCCCAGTCTGTAAAATGGAGATTATATTCACCTTACGGGGTGGGGTGTTGGGGGGGTTCTCATTCAGTCTCAAATATTTCAAAACAAAACTATTTGTAAATGTTGAGCATAGTATCTGGCACATGGCTGAATACATATGTGGATACCTATTCTCTATCTCCCTTTGTTCCTAGAATCAAGAATGGTAAAATGGATTTTTTAATTCTTTGGCATTCCTCCCGTCATTTAAGCAGGGTCTGGTGGCACACACCTATAGTCCTAGCACTCTGGAAGGCTGAGGCAAGACGTTCAAAAGTTCAAGCCCAGCCTGGATAACTTAGCAAGATCCTGTCTCAAAAGCTAAAAAGGGCTAGGGTCATGCGAAGCCCTGGGTTTGATCCCCAGTTCCAGAAGAAATTAAATTAGAGGCTGGGGTTGTAGTTCCAGTGGTTCAGTGCTTACCAAGCATGCATAAGGCCCTGGGTTCAATCCCCAGCACACATACATTTTTCTAAAAATGAGGTTTATGCCCCTTCCCTTAAATCTGGGTTATCTCTGTACCTGTCTGACTAGTAGAATTCAATGCAAATAATACTGTACCAGTTTCAAGCACAAGACAGCTCTCACTTTCTATTTCTTGAAATACAGTACTTCTTGGCCCCAGCCACCATGGAGTAAGAAAACCCAAGCATCCTCAGACAAACATGGAGAGAAAGTAAGACAACCCCGGCCCCAAATCCTCTGGCCAATATCCACAACTGAGATACCAGGAAAGAGCCAAAACTAACTTGCCAGTTATGTGAGTGAGCTCCCTGGAAGCCCTACTGACAATTGAAAGATTAATTGTCCCCGCCAAGCCCTGCCCAAGTTGCAGACTGGTGAGCAAAATAACTTGTTTTAAGCCACTAAATTTTCAGCTTGTAACAGCAATAGATAACCAGAACAGATGAAATCAAGTTTCATTCCTCCACTCCGACCCCATGATTTAGGAAGGTGATCAAATCAAGAGAAATCCTCATGGAGACTTCCTGTAGCAGTTTTAGGATTTGTGATTGTGTTGCTCAAACTGTCTTATGTAACTTTTGTCTTGCATAATTAACCAAGAAGCCATTTACTGCCTAATAATCTTTATGATGTAAAGGTTATGATGTAAATTATAAGGTAGCCAATTCTTGCGGTGGGGACTTCTCTAACGGGGCCAAGTGGGCGTGTAACTTTCGTGCAAGTCAGGCGTGTACATTATCTGATTCAAGAGGGGAGAATGGTTTTCTAGAGACTGGCCAATTTACAATGCTCTTAAAACCCGCTTTCCACTACGTAAATCTTCACAAATACTGCAAGGTGCAACTGACCACCAAGTTACAAGTGAGAAAACTGAGGCTTCTGTCTTCTATTCTTTCATCCACAAAATGAGGACTACGGAGATTTAGTCACTACACGGCTCGTGAACTCCTTCGCCAATCCACAACAGATTTACTGAAGCCCAGCGTCCTTCCTCAACTTTCCCTATCCCGGAAATCCGCTCCCAACGTTGTCCCGCCCCCAGCAATCTAACGCACTCCTGTGATTGGTTACTGAGAGCTTACGGGCGGTGAAGGATTGTGGTAACCATGGTGATGAAGGCGGGCACAGCGCACGGCGGTCTGTAACAGACGTCTGGACCCTTGGCGCGGCGTTCGCGGTGCTGCCTGGCCCGGCAATGGCGCCCGAGCCGGTGCTCGCACAGAAGTGCTGAGCTGGCTGGGCGGCAAGGCTTCCCCACGCCGGCAGGCCGCCGTGCCCTCGATGCGGGTGCGGGCTCCGCGAAATAGAGCCGAGGCTGAGCTCGGGCCGTGGACGTTGTAAGAGGCCGAGGAGCGCGAGCACCCGCGCAGGTAGATGCGGCTCCGCGATGATGGACACTCTGGAGGAGGAGAACTTGGCGCAGTCCTTGTGAGTGACGACCGCGGCCCTGCAAAGTGGGTGTGCTGGGCGGTCGGGGGCGTATTAGAGGACAGCCAAGGCTCCACTTCAGTTCCGGGGAAGACAGAATTTCGGGGCGGGGGTCACCCGGATATCAGCACCTCCATCACTGTCCTCCGGCCTGAACGTTAGCCGTCAGCAAAACCTGGCGAATTTGACCCACCAAGGCTTGGGTCAGATAACCCTCCACCGCACCCCCTTCCCTGAGCGCCTTCTGATGAAATCCCCTTGTAGGCCGGTGCTCGCCCCCGCCAGGTTCGCGCTGACCAGCAGATGGAGATGGTGCGATAGCCACGGTGCATTGAGTAGAGCCCATAGGAAATAACTGCGGAGGAGCCTAGAGATATCCCACCCAGCTTCAGCTGTCCTTATTTGTGTTTTGTAATTCATTGTCAAGCTTTGTCAAAGTGGAACCATCATTACATTTAACTTATAGGTCATAGTTGGTCAACGGACAATTCATCTTGCTATTTATTCTTTTGTCCCTTGTGCATGTTGGAAAATAACCATAATTTTTAAAAAACTTAAGTTATTTGAATCAACACCTAATCGTGGCATATTTTTCAGCTCCTCTGCCTCGGATGCAGAATTTGATGCTGTGGTTGGATATTTAGAGGACATTATCATGGGTAAGTTCCCATGCCACAACCTGATCTCTATTTACTTCTTAGACCCTTGTTTTTAAGGATATTGAAATCAACTTGAAGGGTTACTTTGTAAAAAGAGAGAAAATATCAAGTTACATGTACATTTTAATGGAGCGCAGTTTCATGTTAAATGAGCCTTACCAAGATTTGACTTAGAAACAGCGCTGAAAGGCTTAAAGCAATTAATCGCCATAGATTTGGGGGCCTGAGGGACCTACTCCACAATAGGGCACCTAGAATATGGAGCGCTTGTCAAAGCTTCGTGAAATACCTACTTTATTTCACATGGGGTAAGAGTAATTTTGGTTTTTGGTAGTGTTTTTCTTTTCTGTGTTGTTGTTGAGACAGGGTTTTACCTATAATCCAAGCAGGCTTTGAATTCTTTGTGTAGACCAAAGTGACATCAAACTCCCAATCCTTCTGCCTCAGCCTTCCCAGTGCTAGTGACTATAGCCATGTGCAACCACACTCAGATTTTAGATGTGTTTTAACATTTTCATGCCATAAAACAGAATATAAAACCATATGCACACAATGTTCATGAAGAAAACAAGATATCAAACTTCACTTGAATCTGTTTTCCTGAGTTTTGAGTTCCCATTTGTGGATTCTTTTTTGTTTTTGTTTTGTTGAGACAGAGTCTCCCAATGTGGTTTAGGCTGGCACAGGTGATCCTCCTGCCTCAGCCTCCCAAGTGTTGGGATTACAGGTGTATGTCACCACTCCTGGCTTGTGGATTCATTTTGACATTCATAAATACTGCTAAGTCACAATCTTAAGTTTTCTTTTTTTTGAGACAGGGTGGCTTTTAGCCTCCATTAAAAAGAATACATTTTCCCTATTGTGTTCAGATGATGAGTTCCAGTTACTACAGAGAAATTTCATGGACAAGTACTACCAGGAGTTTGAAGACACAGAGGAGAATAAACTCACCTACACACCCATTTTTAATGAATATGTAAGTAGATTTGTGTTTCTCTACCAGGACACTAGTGTTCCTTTAAAATTTGGATTTAAGGGCTGGGGATTTAGCTCAGTGGTTTCGCCGCCTGCTGCACAAGTGCAAGGACCCAAGTTAGATCCCCGGTACCAAAATAAATAAATAAATAAATAAATGAAATAAAATAAAATTTGGATTTAAGAGTTAGGCACCATACCTGTACTCTTAGCACTCTGGGAGACTGAGGCAGGAGGACTGCAAGTTCCAGCCCAGCCTGGGCCTTAATGAGATCCTGTCTCAGAATAAAGAAGGACTGGGGATGTAGCTCAGTGTGAAGGCCCTGGGTTCAATGACCAGTAGTACTGAAAAAATTGAGTTTAGAATCAAAAGGCTGGGGCCAGGGATGTAGCTGGGTGGCGCTGTGCCTGCCTGGCAAGCACAAGGTTCTGAGCTCAGTCCCAGGTACCGGAGGAAAAAAAAGAATCAAAAGAGGCTGAAATTTGCACATCTTTTAAAATATGCTAGTAGTACATTGCCGGGAATTCTGATTAGAATTTGTTTTAGTTCATTTTGCTCTTGGGGCTGTTTTCCAAAAGGCTTTGGGGCAATATTTAATGAGCTTTCAGCTTCTTTCTTAAAAGAAGTTTGGCCTCACTGTAATCCTGGCTTCAGCTGCAGTACAGTTCACCATCCCTTCCATTTATGTGCTTTGGACAAACCTTTTTATTTTCATGCTTTCTCCTACATAATTCAGTAAAGTACACATGGCTATTAAATGTGAAAGACCAAGATCACTCACTAGGTAGTGGAAAAAACAAGACTGGAGTCCAAGAACCTCAGCTCTTCACCCTTGAGTCCTTACACCGTGCCCTGAAGCCTCTTGCAGCCTCCTGGGGTCACCTCATCTATCTAAGAAGAGTTATGCATCTCTAGGACTTTCTTTCCAAACACAGAAGCAGGTATCATGGAGGAATCCTGCTGGGAGGAGCCATGGCTGCCTCCAAGTGTGTTGCTCACACATTCAGTCTGTACAGATCCCGTCTACACAGGAAGAGGACCCCCTACGCATTGCCTTCCTGACCTGTGCTGAAGAGGGGGAGCCCTGGTGCTCTCTGCCTTTACCCAGGGTAGAGTGATCAACCTGTGATAACACAGCTACCTCCAAATGTCCCTCTGGGCACCAGGCAGGCGCAGGACTTAGCCAGGGCAGGACCTGGGTCATAGTCCCCTCTTGCATAACCAGTACTTAGCACAGAGCTTGTTCATAAAATAGGATCTCAGAGATGCCTGCCAAGGGCTGGAAAATGGGCTTTCTGAAAACAAGTCCTGTTTCCCTAAAGCTTGCTCTGCCATGATCCTTCCCACTGCTACAGATTTCTCTAGTGGAGAAGTACATTGAGGAGCAGCTGCTGGAACGGATCCCAGGGTTCAGCATGGCAGCCTTCACGACAACATTACAGTGAGTCCAGCTCAACTGCTTGGCTCCCTCCTTCCTGAGACCGAGATAAAAACACCCTCCTTTGTTTGCCAGTGAGAGACCTGGTGTTGGGTCTGGGTGGGTGACCCTCACCATCTGTGTTCAGATCTTGCAGAGAAGTTCTGTCTTACCATTTGTTCCTGCAGCTGCCACCCTCTCCTTTACAGGCACCATAAAGATGAAGTGGCTGGTGACATCTTTGACATGCTGCTCACATTTACAGATTTTCTGGCTTTTAAAGAAATGTTTCTGGACTACAGAGCAGTAAGTTACAACTGATCGTTTATCTAGTCAACTGAACCACTGGGAAATTCCCAGTGAATACAGCTATCTCCTGTGCTTCCTCCTGGCGCCCCCCAACTAGCTAGTGTCTGTCCAATGGCGAGCAAGGTGAGGGTGGGCTGGGGTTGCCGACCCATTCATGCAGGGACTTTTTCATGCTTTGGTACTATGGGCCTAGGTGCCACCCTTAGGGTCCCTAAGTAATCAAGACAAACCCCCAAAGAGCTAGTTGCTTTTGTCTCATAGGCTCTTTATAATAAATATTTTCCAGTGAAGAGCAGTGTATGTTTTAAGTACCCGCAGCCAGTGTTGTGCAGAAATGCAAAACTAAGCTACCTCCCCATCCTATGCCACCAGGAGCTGCCCCTTCCCCACACCACAGGTTGGGTCCTGAACCAGAAAATGCCTCTTTCTGTTCCTTACCTCTTGAAGTTGTTTCTTTTCTTGGTTAGGAAAAGGAAGGCCGGGGGCTGGATTTAAGCAGTGGCTTGGTAGTGACATCGTTGTGCAAATCATCTGCAATGCCAGCTTCCCAGAACAATCTGCGGCACTAGGTAATGAATGGGATCATTCTGGATGTCACCAGCTAAACAGCTCAGAGACTTCAGCTGATGACAACCGAAGAGTGCATTTTGGAAAGACTGACTGTACTGCAGCCCTTCATTCATGTTAAGTATTGGTGGGTGGGTCAAAAACATGACCTTGTCCTTCTAGCCCCATTTCTCCCAAATAACCTTCCTGTATTTAGTAACCCTAGTGCTTCTCTCCTGTGGACACCTCACTCAGGTGCTTCTGAGTCAGGCTCTAGAGCAACCCCATGTCAGCCATCCCCAGCGTGCACGCAAGTGTGGCTGCCAGCAGTGTACAGGAGCCCACTGTCCCTGCAGGCTTTGCATGAGTCCTTTTGTGTATTCATAGCACTTTTTTACATAGGTCAGGGTTTCAGACCTTAAGCCTCAGTGGTGTTTTTGTTAGAAAGTATTAATCCAGGGAGTCACTGGCCTGAGACAGCTGCCCAGCCTGAGATCTCAGAATCTCCTATGACCCCTGTACTGGCTGGAGGAAGTGACCGGGAGAAATGCCCTTTTCCTGAAAGCTCCATTAAAAGTCCACTCCTGCCTCACGTCTGCAGTCCTTGAAACACCATCTTCTTCTGGTCCTGATGTAGTCTCCCTGTTTCTAAAAGTCTCTTTTTAAACATTATTTTCAAAAAAA